TGCCTGCCTCAAGAATTATCTAGAAGTCTTAGATCATCTAAAATAACAGAATGAGGGAATAACCAGTCCAGAATGTAGCATTTTCTAAAACAGTGGTTCTCAATCTTTCTAATGTTGCCACCCTTTAATATAGTTCTTCATGTTGTAGTGACCCCCCCCGCCATAAAATTATTTCATTGCTACTTCATAACTGTAATTTTGCTATTGTAATGAATCATAATGTAAATATTTAATATGAGATCCCAAAGGGGTCATGACCCACAGAACTGCTGGCTTTTCTACACTTAGAAAAGTCAATGTCATGCAGGAAAAAGGTGGCAGTATAGGGCTGTGTTCTAGATACTTAGAAGTCTAAGTGTGCTGGCTAGTTTTATGTCAACTTGATACAAGCTAGAGTTATCTGGGAGGAGGGAGCCTCAATTGAGAAAATGCCTCAGTAAGATCCAGCTGTAGGGCATTTTCTTAATTAGTGATTGATGGGGGAGAGCCCAGCCCATTGAGGATGGTGTCATCCCTGGGCTGTTGGTCCTGGGTTCTACAGCAAACAGTGCTGAACAAGCCACGAGGAGCATGCCAGTAAGCAGCACTCCTCCATGGCCTCTGCACCAGCTCCTGCCTACAGGTTCTTGCCCTGCTTGAGTTCCTATCCTTAATGCTTTTGTTAAGAACTGTTATATAGACTGTGAGTGAAATAAACCCTTGCCTCTCCAAGTTGCTCTTGGTCATGGTGTTTTATCACAGCAATATTAACCCTAACTAAGACAGTAAGAAAACTAACAGCTAAACATGATTTTTGAACCCAGTCCAAATAAATACACTGTGCTTGCTGGCTAGTGTTTACTTGCTAACTCTTCACAATCTAGAATCACCTGGCATGAAAAACTCAGTTGAGGAACTGTCTGTGTCAGGCTGGCCTGTGGACATGTCTGTGTGGGTGTTTGTCTTACTTAGTAGCTCACAGAGATCCACCTGCCTCTGCCTCCCTAGTGCTGGGATTAAAGGCATGTGCCACCAATGCCTGGCCGTAGTGGACATTTTCAATTTGATACTTTGGATTCTCTCACCTTTTTTTCTAGAACGAGTCCTTGGTTTTTATTTGGAGATGCAGAACATCCCCTTTCTGGTTAAATGTGGGTTTTATTTATGTCATTTCTTTGTAATACAGAAACATATAATTATAAGCTTGCTATTCTTTCCCTTGTCCTGGCCAAGATACAGCTGGACCAGAAGCCATAGTCTTGCAGTCTTGTTAGAGTGGTAGGGGCTGAGGTTGAAATGGCAAAGACTTGAACAGCTTTGCCTATGTAGGTCATCAGATCCACACAGGATGGACAAGGGTTGGGGGGATTCAGATCTGCTCAAGATATCTGTTACTAGGAAATAGGAACTAGAGTCTACTACTATCTTGCAACAAAAAGTGATACTTCTATGTTAGAACATGTTTCAGTCATTGTTTGGATAAGAATACCAAATCCAAAAAAATAGTTCCATGTATTTCAAGCAAAGAATGCAATACAAAAAAGAAAACTCCAGAAGCTTCCATTGTAAGGGGCTGAAGAAAAGTGAGTCAGGTCTACCACTGACTTTTTAGTGTGCCACTTCCCAAAAGTTTGAGAGTCTCTGTGTTCCAGAGCTGGGAATATGTAGACATCTGACTCCTCTCAGAGAACTCCTCTACAGGATGTTTGGAAGGGCAAGAGAAAGAAGCCATTGCAGAGACGTAGGAAGCTGAGGCTGTGCCTTCTGTTGCTGCCAGAGAAAGAATCAATCTCTTTGACCACTTTCAAAAGCTGTGTGAGTTTATCTGTCTGCTGTAGTCTCATCATGCAACCACAACTTTGCTGGTTAGGGCATCAGAGGCTAGGAAGTGCTTCACAGGTGTTTAGCTTCTGCAATATGCAATATGAAGTCAGATAGATGTGTTGTGGAATATCATTTTAAGGTGTGTTACATTTGTTTATGCCGTGGAACATTTGTTTTGATGATGCAAAAGAAGTGTTGCATTCTCTGGTGTTGCATTTGTTTAACTCTGTGAAGCTGTAATTCCTTGCCTGCCTAAAACACCCCATGGTCTAATAAAGAGCTAAACAGTCAACACCACCACAGGAGAAAGGACAGGTGGGGCTGCCAGGCAGAGAGAATAAATAGGAGGAGAAATCTGGGAGGAAGAAGAAGGAATGAGAAAAGGAGGGAGGAGGAGTAAGATAGAACAAGGAGATGAGGACTTCAGGGGTCAGCTACACAGCCAGCCATGGAGTAAGAGTGAAAATAAGATATTCAGAAGTAAGAGAAAGATAAAAGTCCATAAAAGTCCAGAGGCAAAAGGTAGATGGAGTTAATTTAAGTTAAGAAAATCTGGCTAGAAACAAGCCAAGCTAAGGCTGGGCATTTATAAGAAAGAATAAGAGTCTGTGTGTGATTTATTTGGGAGTTGGGTGGCAGGCTCCCCAAAGAGAAAGAACAAAGAATGAAAAGCAAACAGCAGCATAGATGTCAACAGATAAATCCAACAGAAAAAGTGAACAGTATTCAAATGTTTATTTATTTGAAACTTTTTGTTTTTCAGTGTTGAGGATCAAACCCAGGACCTTGTATACACTGGTCAAGCGTTTCACCACTGAGCCACACCTCTGCCTTCCTCTCTAAGTATATAACTATTTAATTTTAAGGATATAACTGTCTGTTACCTTGAAGTCTTGAGTGTGGACTATATATTCTATAGGAAAAGTTAATTGTGAGATTTTTGGTGATAAAACCACTTGAAGCTCTGAGCCATACTTGGCACAAAAGGTTGGTTCCAGCCACTAGTTGGTAGGAATTAATGGCCTCTCACATCTTCTGACCCAGCAGAACTTCTCCACTGAAGGACAGTTAGCCTGAGGGCTGCCCAGGGCTGCAGAGCAGGCCTGGCCAGCCAGAGCAGCTTTGCCAAGGCTCCAGTCCCCTTGCTTACCCCAGCATACACATAACAAAATTCATCCTTATCTTAATGCACTATGAAGAAGGCTGAAAAAAGCTGCATTTCTGGCAAAGTAGCCTTTTGTCATTTTAATGTGAATAGCATCTCAGATCAAGAAGGCTCCAAAGTGAATTAATGCATGGTAAGTGCCAAGAAAGAATTTTCCTGGGCAGTCGGTCTTCACCTGTATGAACACATGGTGCTTACAGAAGCATTAACACCTGTGTGGACACAAGGTGCCCACAGAAAGGCAGTAACTCACAGGATAAAACATGAATTAGCATCCCAGGGGATAATGTTCTGTAAATAGCAAAGATAGTTGATACAAATTTCCTTAGACTTCTGGAGAAGTTAGAGCCTTGATCAATTCTTTACCTGTAGCTTCTCTTCCCTTTTTTAGTTTTTATAACAGAAGTGAGATGACAATTACAGTCAGAGAGGAAATCCTGCTTCTGCTGAGAGGGATATTTGGACAACTTTGTGGTTTGTGCATTAAGTGGATTAAACGAACTCATGCTCTGAAGGTTCTGATCCTAAAAGTAGTTTCTGTCTTAGAAAAGATAATTTCCAAATGAGAAATAAGAATCTTCTACTGAGTTATAAACGTTTGCCTAAAATATGTTCACTGTATTTGAGAATTATCATGCATTCGGGCATCTCCTGGTGCCTGAGATATATCAACAGCTCCTGCAGAGGTCAGGACTTGAGAAAGGTGGATGTAGCAGGTGATACAAAGTAGTTGCACTGGAGAGCAATTTGAATCTTTCCTGAACCTCTAGGAATATATTGTTATTGCACTCATGAGGCAGTATATAGGAGAGGATATATGTATAGCTCTCTCTTCCCAGGGCCACAGAGTTTATTTTTATATCTCACAAAAATGAATACATCAATCAATATTTGCATTTCAAAAATAACTAATAGGTGACTATTTTCCCAACATGAATCAAAACATCCTTGAAAAGTCATAGTCATAAAATTCAAGATCAGAGATCAGGGAGCAAGTAGACAAAGTTTAACTAAGCAGAGGAGAGGCCTTTGACATTTCCTTATGGTCACGATTGCCAGACAATTTAGAATCTAAAAGGCTGATTCTCAACTTGTAATAAGCAAAGCAAAAATTCTTATCAAATTGTACTATAATCTATTTTAAACCTTTATATATATCTTTATTTATATATCAAATATAATTACTGCAATATTTCTATCTTTCTTATTTTTATAATCTAATGATTTTTTCAATGTAAAATCATATCTTTTTTCTTGATTCTTACTTTTCAAATTTGCATTTTATATCTATAAAAGCATTAAAAACTTCATTACAAAGTAAGCAGAAAATGTTCCCAAACTCATTTGTGGATTTTTATGTACTTTCCCAATCTCCAGAGACTAGTTAGAACATGCTGTTCAGCCATTTCATCAATATTAATTCTTTCAAATGTGTAGGTTTTATACTACTTTTTTCAATACTGTCCCAAACCATCTCAGATCATCAGTATTCTGAGGGCAAAAGGGAACAAGTCACTGAATCTAAAGATCACTATACAAATGATTTTATTTTTTAAGCAATAAAATTAAAGGAGGAAGTAGGGCTGTATCCACTCAACCAGAAACTGGACTACATGGACTTTGTCCTACAGTTTCTTTAGCCAAGCAACAATCTTACAGTCTCTTTATCTACATTGTGAAAACTGGAGCTTTGTCATATAGTCTCCTTAGCCAAACAACAATCACAGTCTCTTTAGCTGAAGGGTGAATGGTGACATCAAGTAAACATAGTAGACACAGATCCTCACAGGATCTTCTTGGGAAGTTTATGTTCCAGCCAGGGCGAGACAGGAACCAAACAATACATGTGATGAAGAGGTAAATCATATAGGATGCCAGAAGGTGAAAAGGGAGATGGAAAAAGAAGGAGAAAGAGAATAAGAACATAGGAGAGAGAATGAAATTGTGCTGGGAAAGGTGTGATTGGCTGTAAACAGAAAGCAGCATTGAGAAAATGGGTGGCGTAGGGTGGGTCTTAGATGACTCCCCACATATATGTGATGAGGATTTGGTCATTAACACAGGCTTCTTCAGAGGTAGGACCTTTGGGAGGTGATTCTGTAGTGAGGCCTCTGCCTTTGTGTCAGATAAACCCATGGATTCAGAACTCAATTGTGGGAAGGGCTTTATCAAGGATGCAAGATGTCTCCCTCTGTCCAGCTCTGCCCCAAAGCAAGCAACTTTGCTCTGCAAGCATTCCCTGTCTTGAGGTCCTGCATTGTCACAGTACAGCCAAGTGACTGTGGACCAAAACCTCAGAAAGCACAGGCCAAAACAAACCTCTCTTCCTTTGTGTCTATCTATTTCAGGTTCTTTTCCACAGGTATGGAAATCCAAGACAATTAACTAAGGCATGGAAGAAGTCAAGCAGCATGTTTCCTGTTCCAGGCTGAGAACAGCAAGAGCTCAAAGGAGGGAGTGAACCTGCTTTACTTGAACAGAAGCCCAGAAAATAGAGTGTTTGAAGCAGAGAGCAAGACGAAGGGAGCAGGAGGGGAAACCAGAGAAGTCTTTGGAGTAAGTGGACATGATGATGCTGTTCAGGACCAAACCAGCACATCCATTTCTCCTCTACAGAGAACACTGACCATAGATGACTTCTCATCTGGAATACCCCCCCCCCTTCACCTGGCCACATCTTTTCCCTGGGAGCATCCTACAGCCAATGAATAACTCCTAGGTTGTCTAAAATTGGGTACCCTTGATTCCATTTCAGGCCTACTCAGAAGGGTGTAATACAAATGTTATCACAGTCCACTCTTCCTTCTGCACAGTTCTGCTTCTGGGCCCCTAATACAGACCACTCTTTCCATTGTGTTTTGAACTCTCTCCCAATAATCTTACAACCCCAACTCACCTGTAGAAACTCCAGCTATCACATCTGTAATGTCAAGCAGCCCAGACACAATAACTATATAATCATGTACAGTAGAAGGGGCCACATTCAAAGGTGTTCAGATACATTGCCTAACTGAATCAAACCTATTTTCCACCAATTAGTCAACATCGAATGATCTGATCAATCCATTTGTCTTTTCTATAGTTACCATTTTTAGAATGAAAATAGTAACAACTTAATAGTGTTTACTCGAGTCAATAATGCACATAAGGATAAACGTTTCTATATTGATTACTATACAGCAGTAAAAGTAAATTCCACCCTTTTCTTTCTGAAATACTTAGATTAATTTTTTTTTACTTGGGAACAAATGATATTAATTTAACAACAAAATATATGAAACTTTTTCTACATATTTCTCATTAAACATAAGGCAATTATTTTCTGAACCAGAAAGGGAGTTGCAGGTCTTAATATAGAGCACTGGTCCCAGATGACCAGTGAGTCAATGTGCCCATACTCTTCCAATCACATAGATGCAGTAATCCATTGGAAGCCAAACTCCACACATGACACATGATTTGTGGGCAGACCTACCTTATGATGAAGAGTCAATTACACCTTAACTATGTGGAATGTGGAAGTTCAATGTTTGTCACTGCCTTTCCTCTGTCAGACAGCCCAAACTGGCCTATGATCTTCCTCCTTCTGCCTTCTATGTGCTGGGATTGCAAGAATATAGCACCATGACAGGCTCCTTGTTCTGGCTTCATAATACTACTTCTCCACTGGTCTTCATCAAGCTGCATGCTCATGTGTCCACTGTATTTTCTTCTAAGCCTGACATGTTCCTTTTATGATCTATTTGTTATCTGTACTAAAAAAAGAATGTTCACCATATAAGCATGGCCATTGCATATAGCTGTTCAGTTTACACTGAGAACAGGCTCCCAGCAGAGAGGGACATGAAGCCATAATCCATGTATGCACTGTCCTTTGAACCTAGGCAGTGGCTTGTAACCACTGGCAAGTAGGAAACACATCTGTTATCATTGCCAACAGAGACCTTCATTTTCCTTGTTTTGCACAAAGTTCTGTATAGCTAATGGCAACCCTCCTTATGAAATGTGATGGGAAGACCATCCTTTTACAAAAGCAACAATACTTGCTTTGCCTCATGGCTGTGGGGACATGACAGGCTCAGTCAACTAAGTATATCTACCACAGACTTTGACTTCAGATCTTGGGCAATGGAGAATTCTTCTTGTTAGCTCAGTGAAGGCTTGGATTGCCTTAGGGTCAGTGTCCAGGGCTGGAAATACTGGTGAAAAGAACTCCAGCACATGGTATTTGGTTAGGGATTTTCACAGACTAGTTTCAGGGAGGAATTGCATTTCTGCTGAAAAACCTAGATGTGTTCCTGATTATTTTCCTTATTAGTGTTACTATATATACCCAGAAGCTTATGCTATGGCTTCTCTTCCTTCCTCCATAGTTACCTCTCACAGGGAAGGAAGAAATACTCCCCTTCTTTCTTGTATTGGGGAAGGGAAAGCCTTAAAGTGGATAACAACTTCCACATAGCTGGAATTCTGATGACTCTTAGGATCCCTTAGATTTTCCCTATAGGAGTAAAGAGAAAAGGTTGTGATAGGGCAGTGACAATGCTGATGGCACTAAGAGAGTTGGTTTTTTCACATCTTTAAGTAAGTTCTGAAAGGGTTGAGTTTGGAGCTATTCCCTAGTGTAAGGACCGCTCACTGTCCTTGGCTTTGAGATGATAGCTGGGGTTCCCAAAGAACTAGAAAGTCCCCTTCACCATCCTTCTGGACTGAGAGCAAGTGTCCCAGTTGATTCATTGTCCAGCAGTCACAGGTCAGGGCTTTCTTCAGTGTATTTTACAGATGGCTCAGCATTCATTTCCTCTTCCCAAGGGGACTCTTATTTTCTTTGGAAGCATTTCACTGCCCCACTTGTCTGTGCTCTTGAAGGAATCAAATACAGGCATCTGGCCCATTGTGGACATTTGAAGAACCAAATTGTTTTTGTTTTCCCAAGACATTCATTCAGGATATAATGTGAAACCCAAGTTCAGCCAGATAAATTGTCTCTCCTGTGACTTTGATCCTGGAAGCTTGAAGTGGGGACTGAGGAAAGAAATGGTTCAAGTTCATTAATGTCAGCAGGCACAGACTGCCCAGCCTGTTTCTGTTCTGAGGTCATGGCTTTGATGCTTCTTTCTAGTCCTTTAAAGGTGTCCTTGCTCATTTCCAACCTTTGTCCCCACAGCTGTCTACTCTTCTGGAATCCTTCAATCATCTCCCCTGGTTTTGTTTTTATTCAGTCAGACAGAGCTAGTCTCTGTTACTGAGAAACAAGAACACTGACGGACACAGGAAGCATTCATACTGCAGACTAAGGGAGATGATGCCTCAGGAACTGTTTTTCTTTCTTTCTGTTATACATGTCATTGTCATAGACACCCTCAGCCATCTTCTATATGCTTTTCACATGAGTGTCCACATTATGCAGAATACTTAGGCTTGTTTAGTCCAAGTTGTAATAGATCTGTTATGTCAACATGGTGATAAAGTGCATATATGTCAAGAAGGCCTCTTTCCCTTTTCCTCTGCCATGTTTTAGTCTTCTCAACTACTCCCAACTATGATGCCACTCTGTAAGAAGTCCACTTTTGCAAGAATATCCCAGATAGGCATGCGACCTGTCCAGAGATGCCTGACACAGTATCACACCTAGACACACGCCAGCTGCCAGCCCAGATACACTTGAAACTCACTGGAGTAAGTGAGCACTGAAGTTGACTGGAACTTTGCTACTTAAGATGCAGTTCTAGAAACAGAGGCATCTAACTAGGAATTTGATAAATGCAGGCCCCTCCCCTGATACAGAATCGGAATCATATATTTAACAAAGTTGCTAGTTAACAAGCATATTAAAATTCAAGAATCATTGGCGGAGAGAAGCATCACAGAACATTGTGATAGAGTAAGTATTGTTTCATGAAATTGTTTCTAATTATATACACAGAAAATTACAAATTTGGTTATAATGATAAATATACTTCTTGCCACGGATCACATTAATTTTGTTTAAAGTCCTGAGCTAGAGGAAATGGCTACATCTCGATAAAGAAGAACAACCAGGATTCACTGACTGTTGTGGAGACCTGCTGCCCTGACGGAGACAGAAAACTCATAGGACCAGGCTCCAATGTACGGATGTGATTTTCTCTTGCACCACCTTATTCCTGGTGTTCTCTTCCAATACCTTTAAAAAGAGAAATCCTTTAAAAAACAAAGCAACAAATGACAAACATCATCTTTAGGAAGGGGTGAACAAAAAAACTACAGTGGAAAGAAACCAGCTAATATGAAATGGTTAAGGGGATACTCGTGGACCACTCCATTTTACCAGTTCTTTCCATCTAGTAAAGAGACAGCCATTCTCACTGCTGCCTGATTTGGTGCTGCAGGAAGAAGCCAATTTGTGTTTACCTAAGAGCCTCAAATTTTCAGAGTAAAGACTCAAACTCTGCAATGCAGATTTTAAATGCTCGGGGGGGGGGGGGGGGGGGGTGGTGGTGTTTAAACGAAGCACATGGGTGAACTTTGAAGAACCACGACAGGTATCAGAAGATGAAGAAGTTTTAAAGTCACACCTGGGGTCAGTCATTCTCCTGCCAGTCATCAACTTGGTGATCATGGCTAAGTCAGTTTTCCTCTCTGAGCCTTCATTTTTTTTTTAATCTGTAAAACAGAAATAAGGATGTATATTT